AACCTAGTTGGTGTCGGCTGCCTCCAGGACCTTGGCGTCACCACTACGTTCCGTGGTCACGAGCGGTATGCTGTCTGTAACGAGGCCGCCACTGGTGCCCCCCTGTCCACGTTCCCCCGGGACCCGGTGTCCGGCCTGTTCACTCTGGACACCGTGACCCCCCCGGCTGGGGCGCCTCCTCAGGTGGCTGCGTCTACCTAGGTTGCTGCTGCCTGCTCCTCTCGGTCCCTCACTCACCCGACTCTCCTTTGGCACCACCGCCTAGGTCACCCTGCGCTCCCGCGTCTGCGTCACATGTCCCAGCACGGTCTTGTCCTTGGTCTCCCAGGTTCCCTCCCCGCGTTTCCTTCCTCCCCAGCCCCACCTTGTACGCCTTGTGTTGAGGGTCGGCTTCGCCGTGCCCCGCACTCCTCCTCGTTTCCCCCTACCGCCGAACCCCTGCAGACCCTGCACCTGGACGTCTGGGGCTCCGCCCCCGTCCCTGGGCCGCGTCGAGAGCGCTACTTCCTTGTGCTTGTCGACGACTTCACTCGTTACACCACAGTCTTTCCCCTGGAGCGCAAGGCCGACGTGCCTGGCGCTCTCATCCCCTGGCTTGTCTCTGCGCGTGTCCACCGCGGTCTCCCTGTCTTGCGTCTTCACTCCGACCGTGGTGGCGAGTTTGCCTCAGGTGTCCTTGGTCGCTTTTCTCGTGCGGAGGGCATCACCCAGACGTTCACCCTACCGGACTCCCCACAGCAGAATGGGGTCGCTGAGCGACGCATCGGTTTGGCCATGGAGGTGGCTCGCACCTCCATGATCCATGCCGGTGCACCCCATTTTCTGTGGCCGTTCGCTGTGCGCTACGCTTCTCACCAGCTTAACTTGTGGCCGCACCCTCAGCAGCCGCAGGTTTCGCCGACTCGTCTTTGGACTGGGTCTCCTGGTGACGCGTCTGCGTTCCACGTCTGGGGCTGCCTTGCTCACGTCCGTGCCTCCGGCACGGACAAGCTCACTGCCCGCACCCTTCCCTGCGTCTTCCTCGGTTTTCCCCTTGACGCGTCCGACAGGCACTTTTACCACCCGCCGTCTCACCGCTTCTTTCACTCTCGTGACGTCACCTTCGACGAATCCGTCTCCTACTACCATCGCTTCCCCCACCGTGGTCCCCCGGTTACCCCCCCCCTGTTCCTGGTCACTCCTTCCCCGGTAGTCCCTGCCCATCCTCCTCCTCCTCCCCGTCCCGCCCCCTCTGGTGTGTCCCACGTCACCCCGCTTCCGTCGGTGGACCCGGTTGAGGAGTCTTCTGACTCTGGTGGTCCTCCTGTTCAGTCCTCGCCGGCCGCCCCTCCCCTGGCGTCCTCTCCCCAGTCCCCCCCTCCACCGCCGCTGCCGCCGCTGCAGCCGTCGTTGTCGCCGCCGCCGCCGCCGCCGCCGTCGCAGCACCCGTTCGCTGACTCTGGGGGTGCTCGTCCCGGTAGCCCTGGGGGTGGTCCCTCTGGGGGTGCTGGTGTGGAGAGTGCCGGTGGTAGCCGACGAGCAGCTTGCGGTCCTGGTGTCGCCGTTGTGCCGCCGCAGCAGCAGTCCCCGCCGGTGTCAGCCCTTCGCCTGCTCGGCCTTCCGTCCCCCGACCCTGCGTCGGTTCCTCCCCGACCGTCTCCTCCTCTTCCTATCTACGGCCCTGTCTTCCCTCCACCGGACTCGTCCCCGGCCCGTCTTCCCCTTCGTTCCCCTCCTGTGTCCCCTCCCCTGTCTCCTGACCCGACTCCTCCGTCGCACGTCTGGTCTCACCGTCCCTCCCATGCTCGTCCTGCCTCGCCTGTCTTGCGCTCCCACCCTATGTTGCTTTGTTCCCACGCGTCTCGTCCTCCCCTTCTGCCGTCGCCTCCTCCGTCCTCCCTTTTTGTTGCACCCCCCCCCGCTGTCTGACTACCTTCGTGCCGCTCGTCCCCTTGTTCCTCGGGTCCTTGCCTCTCTCGTTACCGACCCGTCTGTTCCGACCTCGTGCCTTGACGCTCTTGTCGCTGCTGTCGCTGACTTCGCCTCTACCCGCCGCCTTGACTACGCCTCCGCTCTGGTCTCTGACCCTGCCTGTCCTCCGTCTGTCGGGGGTGCTCCTGCCCTTGGCAGTGACGTCCTGGAGGACCGCCAGTTCGAGCTTGCTTTCCTCTCCGAGGCTGCTCCCCATCTCTGTTCCATGCTGCTAGTCCCTGAGGGTGACCCAGACGCTTTCGACATCCCGACCCCTCGCACTTACGCTGAGGCGACTTCGGGACCCTGGGCCTCGCAGTGGATAGCTGCCATGGAGCAGGAGATGGCATCTTGGAGATCCACCGGCACCTTCGTCGACGCAGTTCCCCCACCTGGGGTGAACGTAGTCGATGGCCGCTGGCTCTTCAAGGTGAAGCGCCCTCCTGGAGAGCCGCCTGTCTTCAAGGCGCGCTATGTGGCTAGAGGCTTCAGTCAGCGCGAGGGGGTGGACTTCTTCCACACCTTCGCTCCGACCCCGAAGATGACTACTCTTCGGGTTCTGTTACACCTAGCTGCTCAGCGTGACTACGAGCTTCACTCCCTCGACTTCTCCACTGCCTTCCTTCAGGGCAGCCTACACGAGTAGGTCTACCTGCGGCGCCCTCAGGGCTTCACTGGCACCTTCCCTCCTGGGACCCAGTGGCTCCTGCGGCGCCCCGTCTACGGCCTGCGCCAGGCTCCCCGTGAGTGGCACGACACTCTCCGTGCTACGCTTGCTGACCTGCAGTTCTTTCCGTCTTCCGCAGACCCTTCACTCTTCGTTCGTGCTGGCCAGACTCCGTTCTACATCCTTGTTTACATCGACGACCTGGTCTTTGCCACAGCTGACAGGGACGCAGTGGCCTCCGTAAAGACAGAGCTGCTGAAGAGACACACGTGCACTGACCTTGGAGAACTGCGCCGTTACCTTGGCTTGCAGATCTCCAGGGACAGAGCTGCGCGCACCATCACCCTGACTCAGTCATACTTGGTGCGCCAGGTCCTTCAGAGGTTCAGCCTTCAGTTCTCCTCTGCACAGCCCACCCCTCTGCCTGTAGACCACAGACTCTCCGCTCCAGTGTCTGAGGAGTTGGTAGAGCCCAGCGGCCCCTACGCAGAGCTGGTGGGTTGCCTCATGTACCTGATGACTTGCACTCGCCCAGATCTCGCATACCCTCTCAGCATCCTGGCTCGCTTTGTGGCCACAGGCAGGCACCGACCGCAGCACTGGTCTGCCGCTAAGAGGGTTCTGCGTTATCTTGCTAGTACATCGGGCATGGGGTTAGTGCTAGGAGGACGCAGGCCAGTGGTCCTTACTGGGCACACAGACGCTTCGTGGGCAGACGACGCTGAGACACTCAGGTCTACCCAGGGCTACTGCTTCAGCCTTGGCTCAGGTGCCGTCTCGTGGAGAGCTACCCGCTCCTCGTCTGTTGCGCAGTCCAGCTGTGAGGCTGAGATCTACGCTGGTGCCATGGCGGCACAGGAGCTCCGCTGGCTGACCTTCTTGCTCACTGACTTAGGTGAGCGGCCTAGCTCTGCCCCGGTCCTGTTCGCTGACAACAGGGCCATGATCCTCCTGTGTCAGGAGCCTCGACTTGAGGGCAGAGCAAAGCACATTCAGCTGCGGTACTTCCTCCTGCGTGAGCTACAGCAGCGACGTCAGGCTTGCGTAGTACACTTGGCCTCAGATGCCAACACGGCTGATATCTTTACGAAGGCGCTTGCGCCTAAAGATCATCAGCGGCACTGTGTACAGCTTGGTCTAGTTCTTGTAGCCTCTCACTTGCTAGGACCTTGACTTTGTACTGTCCTTTATACGTATACTCAGACTGGACTTGTGTCCTCTCCCAGTGGCTGGACTAGTAGTGCCGCCCTGCTCTTGTTCTTGCCTTGTTTGTACTCCTTCTGACTGGTCTCTCAGACCCTTGTTTCAGAGGTTGGACTAGTAGTGCCGCCCTGAGCTGTTTGTTTAGAGCATTCCCCTATGCAGTCTAGGGGGTGTGTCAAACATGTGTATTTGTCATGTTTGTATAGACTGTATGGGGTCGCCTCTTAGAGAGTACAACACTTAGGTATATCTGTGTGTACTCTCACTCTATCCACAATTCACTTCTCAATTTTGATAGAAACGATGTTGACTATGCCTAGTGCATCATAGTACAATGTGTGATTGTCGTTGCCCGATTGGAATTTTTTCCCATATCGTGCATGTCAATCTCTACTGTGGCACGAACACATTGATGCTTTCGTTTTACTGCATTCGCGATTGTTTTGTTGTATTGTATTGTTGTCGTGTCGAGCCGAGCCGTTGTGTGTGTTGGTAAGATGCGTTCTGTGTACATGCTTTGAATATGGTGGTGGTGATGTTGTGGTTCCAGTCATTCTCCGCCGTAATTATCGACGACGAATGATTCGAGCCTCTCTCATCATTCATAGAAAGCTTAAAAAATCGTTACAAAACTCAAAAAGGTTGTACCGTCCGAAATCGGTCCACCGACCGATTGTAAAAGGTTGCTACGCAACCCAAAAATCCAACATTAATATAAAACGGTCCGGTAGGGTATCGGACGACAAACGTACGCCTGGGGCACCACCTTAGCCTATCCCTGCATCACTAAATGGGCCCGTAGGTCGCTCCCGCCCCTGACGCCTGTAGCGTGTCGGTTCGGAACCACCATACTGGGGGAGTTGCTTCGGCAGTGTTGCTGGTTCGGCCAGTAAGGGCACGACACGAACCTATTTTCCAGGTTCGAAGACAGGGACCTCGACCTTCCACCGCGCTCAAAACATTAATAACTTGCAGAAACGTTTTTGCAGACCCTGAAAGCCCCGACCTTGAGGGCCAACCTTCTGTCCACGCCCTGGAAAGTCAGTGTTGGGGTAACCTCGATCGAGATCCCCCCTTCCCCCAGGCGAGCGACGTTTCGGACTGAAGCTCCCAAGGAAGGATGTTTGGTTGGGAGCTCCTTTTAGTCCGAAATGCTGGGACATATGTTATCAGCAGTTCTCTTTCACCCCTCCATTTTCATTTATTTCTTGCATTCTCCGTTCGCGCCATTTCCCCAGTCTAGCACAGACTGCTCGCCGTAGCACGCTGAGCAGCGGCCTATACAGAGCGAGGCAACGCGAGGACCGTGACTCCGCAACCGCCGGCGAGATGTATAACCCTCAGGCGATGGAGGGCCGTAAGGCCTTCCGCAACCAATGGCAGATTGAAATGTGGCAGGCGCCCGCGAAAGAGCTTCCGTGTACGTATCACGAAGAATCGGTGCCCAATCATGCTTTTAACTCTCTTGTCATCTTACAATATTTGTATGAAAATAAAAATAAAAAGAATCGCTGCTTTGTGTGCTTCGTGCTCCCTGCAGCGCGACGAGCATCGGACTCTGGGTGCTCTTGCATGACGCAAGGCCTATTCCTCCAGCATTGATTTTTGAGGCGCCTCAAAAAAGGCCTATTCCTCCAGCATTGCTTATACTCGCTTGAGTTTTGGCCTGTATTGTCTTCCATCGCATCCCTATCCCTCCGTTGCCCAATTTAAGAACCTGGACAAATCGTTAACCTGTTTCCGTCTCTCCCCTTACCAACCAATCACCACGCTGCTGCCGTTCCCTGGCCTCCGTTCATGGCGTCACGCCTCGCGTCGCTAACATCCGCGTTTCCTGCCGCTACTTCCGCCACGCCTCGCGCTGTCGCTGCGACACGTGTTACTTTCACTTTCGCGTGCCACGTTTCGCCAACGTCGCGGTGGTCTCCAGTCTGCTGCATCGCTACCTGGTGGTGAGTGCCTTACCTCACCTTACCTCACCTCACCGCACACGCACCCGTCTCGCCATTCTCCCCTTGCTGTTTCCCATATTGTCTTCCCGAAGTGCACATCCATGCACTTATGAAAATATGCCACTGGTTAATTGACCCTTCTGCCTTCAATATGCCGTCGGCGACGCCTTTCAGTCCGGTCGCAAGCGACGGCGAAGTGTCGCATTTAGTATCGCACTTAGTATCGCAACAGCCTTCAGTGGTCTCACACTCACCCTGCGTCCCGCTTCCCCTTGCCCCCGTTACCCCGCCAGCTCTCCCTGCGCGTCCTACTATCTTTCAGGCGCCTCAACAATACACTCTTTCCGCTTCCCCTTGCCCCCCGTGCCCCCCTTGCTCCCCTTGCTCCCCTTGCCCCCCTTGCTCCCCTTGCTCCCCTTGCTCCCCTTGCTCCCCTTGCTCCCCTTGCCCCCCTTGCTCCCCTTGCTCCCCTTGCTCCCGTTACCGCCAGCTCTCCCTGCGTGTCCTACTATCTGCGCGACCGCGTGCTCTATGGCGACATGTCCAGGTAACCACGCTCCCTCCGTGTCTTCTCCCGTCACCTCGCTCGCCTCCTCCCTCACCTCTGAACTCCCTCCTCCGCCCTCCTCCTTCGCCTATCTTCCCCCCTTCTCTTTCGCCAGCCATTTCTCTCCTCGTCGCCCGCCGTCCCGCGTGGTGTAAAACTACCCACAAGGCTGCGCGGTTTCCAGTCCACCTGACACCCGAAATCCCGAAACCTAGCGAGCGGGAAAACCGTCCAGGCGGCCAGACTTGCACCGCTTGCGTTGCGTGTCTCTCGAGGCCCTTGGAAGGAAGGAAGGAAACCAGACGCATGCGCATCGTAGGCAGCTGCTTCCCATTCCCGGGCGTTGATGCTGCTGTGCTGGCGATAGACGCGGCTGGCACCTGACACCCGACTGTAGCAATAGCAACACACCTGGCACTGGCCCGTCGCACGCGGCGACGTGGGTTAGCAAGCATCGTGTGTGTGGGGGGCGCTCGGCTTTATGTGCTCCCCTGGACCGGTTCTATCTGTCACCAGATAGCGCCTGTTTCGGGATGTCTAGATGTTGGTAATTCCCTTTTGAGTCGTCTCAAATAGCACACGGTTACCAGATAGCACCTGCCGCAGGATGTCTAGTCCGTTGACTCACCACTTGCCCCACCAACCCTCTGCACTCCGTTCCGTTAACTCCCAACCCCCTCTCTCCCTCCTCCCCTCTGTCCAGTCCAATCCAACTACTCCCCCCTCCCCCCTTCTCCTTCTGCCACCCCGTCTCCAACCCCCACGGCCCCACGGCCACCCCCACCTCCACTCCCCCCTCCCCCTCCCTCTTTCTCCACCCACCAGATACCAGTGCTGCGGCGGATTCCTGCCATGCAGCGGGCACTGCGGCGAGTCCAAGTGCCCACAGTTCTGCCTGGGCGTGACGGTCTGCCTGCGCTTGCTTTCCTAGAACTTTCAAAAACCCCTTTCCCCGCTTCCCCCCCCCCCCCCCCCCCCCCCCCGTCCTCCAGATACCAGTGCTGCGGCGGATTCCTGCCGTGCAGTGGGCACTGCGGCGAGTCCAAGTGCCCCAAGTTCTGCCTGGGCATGGAGGTGTGCCTGTGCTTCCCGTCGTCCGTGGCGGCCACGCGCTTCCTCGTGCAGGACCAGCTCAATATCATGAACAGCAAGTGCGACAATGGCATCCTGGTACGTTGTGCCCTGCCCTGCCCTGCCCTGCCCTGCCCTGCCCTGCCCTGCCCTGCCCTGCCCTGCCCTTCCCTGGCCTGGCCTGGCCTGGCCTTCCCTGGCCTGGTCTGGCCTGCCCTGCTGTGTGTGTTGTGCGTCCTGCAGCAGTGAGGGAGCGTGTGAGTGAGATGAGATGGCACAGAGCAGACTCGTGCAGGGCCAGCTGAGCATCATGAACAGCAAGTGCGACAACGGCATCCTGGCACGCTCTCTCCTCTGCCGCCCCTGTCTTCCCCCTATCCCAACAGGTATTCCCTGAGTTGCTAGCCCATCTCTCCGCCACCCTACCCTGCATCCTGCACTCCCTCGCTTTCATCCCCTTCCCGCTTCTCTGCCCCCTCCGACTCCCCTTATCCCCCTGTACTCCCCCTATCCTCCCCCTATCCTCCCCCTGTCCTCCCCCTATCCTCCCCCTATCCTCCCCCTGTCCTCCCCCTGTCCTCCCCCTGCCTTCCCCTTGCGCCCCAACAGGTGTGCCTGGTGGCTCTGGAGCGCAGCTCGCATGCGCCTTCGCCATTCCAGCCTGCATCTCGCATTCTTCACCTTCTTCCCACTTCTTCCATCCCCCTCCGCCTCCCCTCCTCCCCCCCCCCTCTCGGTGCCCCAACAGGTGTTCCTGGGGGCTCTGGAGCAGCTGCCCTGCATCTTCACTGTTCCAGCCTCCCCTCCTCCCCCTGTCCTCCCCCTGACCTCCCCCTGACCTCCCCCTGACCTCCCCCTGACCTCCCCCTGTCCTCCCCCTGACCCCCTTGTGCATCCCACCAGGTGTTCCTGGTGGCGCTGGAGCAGCTGGCGTGTCTCTTCGCCATTCTGGCGTGCATTCTGCAGAACGACGGGCTCCATGATGCCGCTCACGCCCTGCGATGCCTCGCCGACGTCGTCTACTGCTCGTACGTGTCTGTACCCTGCGGCTGCTCGTACGTGCCTGTACCCTACGGCTGCTCGTACGTGCCTGTACCCTACGGCTGCTCGTACGTGCCTGTACCCTACGGCTGCTCGTACGTGCCTGTACCCTACGGCTGCTCGTACGTGCCTGTACCCTACGGCTGCTCGTACGTGCCTGTACCCTACGGCTGCTCGTACGTGCCTGTACCCTACGGCTGCTCGTACGTGCCTGACCCTACGCCTCGTACGTGCCTGTACCCTACGGCTGCTCGTACGTGCCTGTACCCTACGGCTGCTCGTACGTGCCTGTACCCTACGGCTGCTCGTACGTGCCTGTACCCTACGGCTGCTCGTACGTGCCTGTACCCTACGGCTGCTCGTACGTGCCTGTACCCTACGGCTGCTCGTACGTGCCTGTACCCTACGGCTGCTCGTACGTGCCTGTACCCTACGGCTGCTCGTACGTTCCACATGCGGCCCACGTGAAGTATGCTTGCACCCTTCCTCACTGGCACGTGTTTCCCGTTCCTGCTAATAACTCTGCTTCTAATTCAGCTCATTCTCGATGACTCAGCTCTGCTTTCGCTACCATAATCCCTGGGCCCTGTCCTGCTTATGCCTCATGTCTAATCCCCGTCCTCTCTTCTCATACTGCCTGCCCCTTCCCCAAACACACACGGCTCTCACTCGCTTGTCACTTGCTGCCGACCCCTCTTCCTGCCTGCCCAACGTCAGGGTGTGCGCGTGCATGCAGGTAAATCCGTATGCCCTCCCTTTTCCACACTCGCATCTCCTGCACCTTTGAGTCGACTCAAAAGTCACCTACCTCTCTCTGTCGTCTCCCTCCGAGCTCCCCCCGTAGCTCCTTGCTCTGCATTGTCCTCGCCTTGGCCAGTGGTCAACCCCTAGGGCTCTCTCCTTTCCTCCGTTTCTGCTGCCTGCTGAACTGTCGTTTTTGCGGCTGTCTCATTCATGTACCCTGTCCAATGCTCTGTTTATTTAGGCGCCTGAACAAAAATAGACTCCTGTGTGGATGTGCTGCTGTGTTGATGTGCTGCTGTGTGGATGTGCTGCTGTGTTGATGTGCTGCTGTGTGGATGTGCTGCTGTGTGGATGTGCTGCTGTGTGGATGTGCTGCTGTGTTGATGTGCTGCTGTGTGGATGTGCTGCTGTGTGGATGTGCTGCTGTGTTGATGTGCTGCTGTGTGGATGTGCTGCTGTGTTGATGTGCTGCTGTGTGGATGTGCTGCTGTGTTGATGTGCTGCTGTGTGGATGTGCTGCTGTGTGGATGTGCTGCTGTGTTGATGTGCTGCTGTGTGGATGTGCTGCTGTGTTGATGTGCTGCTGTGTGGATGTGCTGCTGTGTTGATGTGCTGCTGTGTGGATGTGCTGCTGTGTGGATGTGCTGCTGTGTGGATGTGCTGCTGTGTGTGGATGTGCTGCTGTGTGGATGTGCTGCTGTGTGGATGTGCTGCTGTGTTGATGTGCTGCTGTGTGGATGTGCTGCTGTGTGGATGTGCTGCTGTGTGGATGTGCTGCTGTGTTGATGTGCTGCTGTGTGGATGTGCTGCTGTGTTGATGTGCTGCTGTGTGGATGTGCTGCTGTGTGATGTGCTGCTGTGTGGATGTGCTGCTGTGTGATGTGCTGCTGTGTGGATGTGCTGCTGTGTTGATGTGCTGCTGTGTGGATGTGCTGCTGTGTGGATGTGCTGCTGTGTTGATGTGCTGCTGTGTGGATGTGCTGCTGTGTGGATGTGCTGCTGTGTGGATGTGCTGCTGTGTGGATGTGCTGCTGTGTGGATGTGCTGCTGTGTGGATGTGCTGCTGTGTGGATGTGCTGCTGTGTGGATGTGCTGCTGTGTTGATGTGCTGCTGTGTGGATGTGCTGCTGTGTTGATGTGCTGCTGTGTGGATGTGCTGCTGTGTGGATGTGCTGCTGTGTTGATGTGCTGCTGTGTGGATGTGCTGCTGTGTTGATGTGCTGCTGTGTGGATGTGCTGCTGTGTGGATGTGCTGCTGTGTGGATGTGCTGCTGTGTGGATGTGCTGCTGTGTGGATGTGCTGCTGTGTGGATGTGCTGCTGTGTTGATGTGCTGCTGTGTGGATGTGCTGCTGTGTGGATGTGCTGCTGTGTGGATGTGCTGCTGTGTGGATGTGCTGCTGTGTGGATGTGCTGCTGTGTTGATGTGCTGCTGTGTTGATGTGCTGCTGTGTGGATGTGCTGCTGTGTGGATGTGCTGCTGTGTGGATGTGCTGCTGTGTGGATGTGCTGCTGTGTGGATGTGCTGCTGTGGATGTGCGCTGTGTGGATGTGCTGCTGTGTGGATGTGCTGCTGTGTGGATGTGCTGCTGTGTTGATGTGCTGCTGTGTGGATGTGCTGCTGTGTGGATGTGCTGCTGTGTGGATGTGCTGCTGTGTGGATGTGCTGCTGTGTGGATGTGCTGCTGTGTTGATGTGCTGCTGTGTGGATGTGCTGCTGTGTTGATGTGCTGCTGTGTGGATGTGCTGCTGTGTTGATGTGCTGCTGTGTGGATGTGCTGCTGTGTTGATGTGCTGCTGTGTGGATGTGCTGCTGTGTGGATGTGCTGCTGTGTTGATGTGCTGCTGTGTGGATGTGCTGCTGTGTGGATGTGCTGCTGTGTGGATGTGCTGCTGTGTTGATGTGCTGCTGTGTGGATGTGCTGCTGTGTTGATGTGCTGCTGTGTGGATGTGCTGCTGTGTTGATGTGCTGCTGTGTGGATGTGCTGCTGTGTGGATGTTCTGCTGTGTGGATGTGCTGCTGTGTTGATGTGCTGCTGTGTGGATGTGCTGCTGTGTTGATGTGCTGCTGTGTGGATGTGCTGCTGTGTGGATGTGCTGCTGTGTTGATGTGCTGCTGTGTTGATTTGCTGCTGTGTGGATGTGCTGCTGTGTGGATGTGCTGCTGTGTGGATGTGCTGCTGTGTCGATGTGCTGCTGTGTTGATGTGCTGCTGTGCTGGCCCCTGACCCCTGGCCTCTTACAGACGCAGCACAAGATAGAGCTGGACACCAGAGACTCTCACAACGCAGCCAATGCTGCCCCCATGGCTCCTCCTCCCCCCCAGACCATGCAGGTATGGAACTCTCTGCATTCCCCCCGCCCTCCCTGACTCCTCGCCGTTCCCATGTGTCTGTCGCATTCGCTTTCGTTCCCAGTCTTTTCTCTCACCAGACCTCTCCGGAAGTTGCCTCCCTTCGTGGGATCTATGTGTGCTTGTTTCTGCCTTGAAATTCAAAATTTTAACCCTGAAAATTAGGGGTCACTCACTCCTCCCTCTTCCCATCTGTTTGTCACGTTGGATGCTCTTTTCCTTACCGTTGCACTCCTTGTGTTCCAACTGCTGACCCCCACTATCCCCACTCTACCACATCCTGTACAGAGCTAAGCTACACCATCATGCCAGGCCACTAGCCAAACTCTTCATTAATAGCTGCTTCTCCTTAGAACAGGTATACCACCGCAACATTAGCTTCCACTACAGGAGACCTTTCCAGTTTTTCCTTCATCCTTTGTGGATCCATGCTGTTTAGTATGGCTCTGAGCCTCAACCATGCATGTTACATAGAATATGCTAATTATAGTGACATAAATATTGTGTAATTCGGGTACAAGTGCTCCAAATTAATGAATGAACAAGGTGGCCTTATTTGAGTTCAGAATAGGTAATGAAGAGAGAAACCAGGCTCGACGTGAATCGTCGGATGGGTTGCGTATGCCTACATTTTTCCCGTTCACAATTCAAGTTAGTATTTCCCCCCCGCCTTTTTCTTTTCATTTGGGTTGTGCATAGAAATTTTGTGAGTAAAATACTAGAAGATTAAATTATTTTGTAAGGGGGTTTATTCTTAACATGTAACATTAATAACTACTGCAATATTTTATGGTTTCGTATAAAAGAATTGTTGTATTGCTGAAGTATTCGTTTAGGTCGGCGGTTTTGTTTCGGGCGGGAACGATTGTTTAATCTGCTTCGTGACTGTAACGCTATACAGTCCCTCACGTTCAACGGGACTCGCTCTCCATGCGAGAATACAAACCTGAACCAAAATTGAGGTGGTGTAACAAAAATCGGATTGTAATACGTGTTATTTAATAGAATATTGGGGTGTAGTAACTGCGCTGACTTGTATTTGGTTTAGCTTTGTGGGGCAAAGCGAATACGCCCCTGGTAGGGCTTGTTGGTGCTTCTTGTTTCTGCTCGTCCTTCCCTCTTACTGTACTGTACCTAGCTCTTGCTGTTTCGTTCGTCCCTAGTTCTTGCTCGTATAGGTCAGTCCTCACCTAGTTGCTTACACCTAGTTCTTGCTTACCCCTTGTACTTGCTCACGCCTAGTACTTGCTCACGCCTAGTCCTTGCTCACACTGACTTCCTTGCTCATACCTAGTCCTAACTCAAAACTAACTGTTTTCCCTTAGTATCATGCATAACTGCCACCTGGCGCGGAGCCCGTAACCCGTTTCGCGCTGGCCCGTTTTGCGCTGGCGACTTGCGCGCTGGCGCGTTTCTCACTGGCGCCTTGCCCGCTGGCGCGTCTCGCGCTGGCGCCTTGCGCGCTGGCGCGTCTCGCGCCGGCGCCTTGCGCGCTGCCGCGTTTCGCGCTGGCGTGTGCGCTGGCGCGTCTCGCGCTTGCGCCTTGCGCGCTGGCGCGTTTCGCGCTTGCGCCTTGCGCGCTGGCGCCGTGCGTGCTGGCGCCGTGCGTGCTGCCACCGTGCACGCCGGGGCTGCCGCCGTGCTCGCCGGCGCCGTGCGCGCTGGTGCCGTGCGCTCTCTCCTCTCTCCTCTCTGCTCTCTCCTATCTCCTCTCTCGTATCTCCTCTCTCCTCTCTCCTCTCTCCTCTCTCCCCTCTCCTCTCTCCTTTCTCCTATATCCTCTCTCCTCTCTCCTATCTCCTCTCTCCTATCTCCTATCTTCTCTCTCCTATCTCCTCTCTCCTATCTCCTCTCTCCTATCTCCTCTCTCCTCTCTCCTCTCTCATATCTCCTCTCTCCACGCCTCCCTCCTTCCCTGATCCTGCCCCTACCGCGTCTCACCTCACCCTCTCAGGTCAATGCTTTCAACCTCGCAGCAGCCAGCAGTGTGACTCGGTGCGACATTCTGTGGCTTGGCTTTTCTCCGCCCCACACCCTCCTCCTTTCCTTACCCTGCTTGTCCCTACCGTGTCTCTGCTCACCCCTTCATGTGAATGCATTCAACCCAGCAGTAGTGGGCAACGTGATGTGCCGCAACCTTATCAACATTGACTGGTGCGTGTGTATGGGCATGGCATGCCTAGCTGTGTGTGTGTATGGGCATGGCATGCCTGACTGTATGTGTCTATGGGCATGGCATGCCTGGCTGTGAATGTGTATGGGCATGGCATGCCTGACTGTATGTGTATATGGGCATAGCATAACTAGTTGTATGCATGTATGGGCATAGCATGCATGGCTGTATGCATGTATGGGCATGGCATCCTTGGCTGTATGTGTGAATGGGCATAGCATGCCTAGTTGTATGCGTGTATGTGCATAACGTGCCTGGCTGTATACATGTATGGGCATAGCATGCTAGGCTCTATGTGTGTATTGGGATAGCATGCGAGGCTGTATGTGAGTATGGGCATAGCATGCCTAGTTGTATGCATGTATGTGCATAACGTGCCTGGCTGTATGCGTGTATGGGGATGGCATGCCTAGCTGTATGTGTGTATGGGCATAGCATGCCTGGTTGTATGTGTGAATGGGCATAGCATACCTAGTTGTATGCATGTATGGGCATAGCATGCATGGCTGTATGCATGTATAGGCATGGCATGCTTGGCTGTATGTGTGTATGTGCATAGCATGCCTAGTTGTATGCGTGTATGTGCATAACGTGCGTGGCTGTATGCATGTATGGGCATAGCATGCCAGGCTGTATGTGTGTATGGGCATGGCATGCCTGGCTCTGTGTGTGTATGGGCATGGCATGCCTGACTGTACGTGTATATGGGCATAGCATGCCTGGCTGTGTGTGTGTATAGGCATGGTATGCCTGGCTGTATGTGTGTATGGGGATGGCATGCCTAGCTGTATGTGTGTATGGGGATAGCATGCCAGGCTGTATGTGTGTATGGGCATAGCATGCCTAGCTGTATGCATGTATCTGCATAACGTGCCTGGCTGTATGGGTGTATGGGGATGGCATGCCTAGCTGTTTGTGTGTATGGGCATAGCATGCCTGGCTGTATGTGTGTATGGGCATAGCATACCTAGTTGTATGCATGTATGGGCATAGCATGCATGTCTGTATGCATGTATGGGCATAGCATGCCTAGTTGTATGCGTGTATGTGCATAACGTGCCTGAATGTACGCATGTATGGGCATAGCATGCCATGCTGTATGTGTGTATGGGCATAGCATGCCTGGCTGTACGTGTGTATGGGCATAGCATGCCTAGTTGTATGCGTGTATGTGCATAACGTGCCTGGCTGTATGCATGTATGGGCATAGCATGCCAGGCTGTATGTGTGTATGGGCATAGCATGCCTGGCTCTGTGTTTGTATGGGGATGGCATGCCTGACTATATGTGTATATGGGCAGAGCATGCCTGGCTGTGTGTGTGTATGGACATGGTATCCCTGGCGGTATGTGTGTATGGGGATGGCATGCCTAGCTGTATGTGTGTATGGGCATTGCATGCCTAGCTGTATGTGTGTATGGGCATAGCATACCTAGTTGTATGCATGTATGGGCATAACATGCATGGCTGTATGCATGTATGGGCATAGCGTCCCTGGATGTATGTGTGTATGGGCATAGCATGCCTAGTTGTATGCGTGTATGTGCATAACGTGTCTGGCTGTATACATGTGTGGGCATAGCTTGCCACGCTGTATGTGTGTATGGGCATAGCATGCCTGGCTGTATGTGTAAACGGGCATAGCTTGCCTGGCTGTGTGTGTGTATGGGCATGGTATGCCTGGCTGTATGTGTGTATGGGAATGGCATGCCTACCTATATGTGTGTATGGGCATAGCATGCCTGGCTGTGTGTGTGTATGGGCATAGCATACCTAGTTGTATTGTATGCATGTATGGGCGTAGCATGCATGGCTGTATGCATGTATGGGCATAGCATGCCTGGCTGTATGTGTGTATGGGCATAGCATGCCTAGTTGTATGCGTGTATGTGCATAACGTCCCTGGCTGTATGCATGTATGGGCATAGCATGCAGGGGTGTATGTGTATATGGGCATAGCATGCCTGCCTGTGTGTGTGTATGGGCATGGCATGCCTGACTGTAAGTGTATATGGGCATAGCATGCCTAGCTGTGTGTGTGTATGGGCATGGTATGCCTGGCTGTATGTGTGTACGGGGATGGCATGCCTAGCTGTATGTGTGTATGGGCATAGCATGCCTGGCTGTGTGTGTGTATGGGCATGGCTTGCCTGACTGTATGTGTATGTGGGCATAGCATGCCTGGCTGTGTGTGTGTATAGGCCTGGTATGCCTGGCTGTATGTGTGCATGGGGATGGCATGCCTAGCTGTATGTGTGTATGGGCATAGCATGCCTGGTTGTATGTGTATATGGGCATAGCATGCCTGGCTGTATGTGTGTATGGGCATAGCATGCCTAGTTGTATGCGTGTATGTGCATAACGTGCCCGGCTGTATGCATGTATGGGCATAACATGCCAGGCTGTATGTGTGTAGGGGCATAGCATGCCTGGCTGTGTGTGTGTATGGGCATGGCATGCCTGACTGTATGTGTATATGGGCATAGCATGCTTGGCTGTGTATGTGTATGGGCATAGCATACCTAGTTGTATGCATGTATGTGCATAACGTGCCTGGCTGTACGCATGTATGGGCATAGCATGCCAGGCTTTTTGTGTGTAAAGGCATGGCATGCCTGGCTGGATGTGTATATGGGCATAGCATGCCTGGCTGTGTGTGTGTATGGACATGGTATGCCTGGCTGTATGTGTGTATGGGGATGGCATGCCCAGCTGTATGTGTGCATGGGCATCGCATGCCTGGCTGTATGTGTGTATGCGGATGGCATACCAAGCTGTATGTGTGTATGGGGATGGCATACCTAGCTGTAGGTGTGTGGGCATAGCATGCCTAGCTGTATGTGTGTATGGGCATAGCATACCTAGTTGTATGCATGTATGGGCATAACATGCATGGCTGTATGCATGTATGGGCATAGCATCCCCGGATGTATGTGTGTATGGGCATAGCATGCCTAGTTGTATGCGTGTATGTGCATAACGTGCCTGGCTGTATACATGTGTGGGCATAGCTTGCCACGCTGTATGTGTGTATGGGCATAGCATGCCTGGCTGTATGTGTATACGGGCATAGCTTGCCTGGCTGTGTGTGTGTATGGGCATGGTATGCCTGGCTGTATGTGTGTATGGGAATGGCATGCCTACCTATATGTGTGTATGGGCATAGCATGCCTGGCTGTGTGTGTGTATGGGCATAGCATACCTAGTTGTATTGTATGCATGTATGGGCGTAGCATGCATGGCTGTATGCATGTATGGGCAGAGCATGCCTGGCTGTATGTGTGTATGGGCATAGCATGCCTAGTTGTATGCGTGTATGTGCATAACGTCCCTGGCTGTATGCATGTATGGGCATAGCATGCAGGGGTGTATGTGTATA